CCTACCGGATTTACAAACTCCAGACCCAGTACCCAAACTTACATCTTTGAGGTTGCAGTTGATGAGCAGCGTCTGTCTGTTGCTGAGGATGGCCTTCTGATACACCTGGATCTTGCAGGCCAGCCTGGACACGGAGCGCTCCTGTAGCTCCAGGCTGAAGGAACAGTGGAGGTTGTTCTGGTTGCCGCTCCAGATGTGGCGGAACGGGATTTCCTGAGAGCACAGGGGAAAAAATAGCAATTAAAATCTTCCCCACTTTCAGCGATAAACAATTTTTAACATAACTAAGCAATTACATGCATCTATATTTTTCTTTTCCGAGTGGAAAGTAATGTTCATCAGTGCTTAGAAAAATATGCTCCTAGTTGAGCACAAGGGTTCAAAAGGAAGTGCATTAAAGCATAACATTCTCCAAAGAGAAGTTTTAGATTTAAACAAAAAAAGAAATTTTCACAAACAAAAACAAAATGGCTCCATGTCCACAAAGCCACTAAAGATGCTGTGTTTGATGGTGTTCATCCAGTAGCCTAACGATTTCTACAGCTCATTTGAAGCATTAGTCGTAAAAGATGAAATCACCCTATAATATGCTTTTCTACTTTTCTTTTCTATTTAATAACTGTATTATTCAGCTTCATGGCAAAACATGACTTGCCACATACCACAGCTCAGAAAAGTATAGTCTAGACATGGTTTTTATTTACTGCTACTAATTAACCTTTCGTTAACCAAAACATAATACAGCAATGAGCTCAACACAGGACAACCCTCACCTGGTAGTTGGCCGCCAGTTTACTCCTCCAGCCTGAGGAGAGTTCCTCTATCGTCAGACACAAGTTGTTGCCGCCATCTTGGAATGGAATCTGCTTTGGTTTATCGAGAAGGCGTCCTCCCAGTTTCCTCTCCACTTGAATCACACCCTGAGGACAAACATACGGATACATCATGAGTCTACATAGACTCATAGACTCATATCTCAGAAGAAATGACGCCACTTTGGAAATGACAGAGTCGTGCATAAGCCACACCCACAACACCAGCTCCAGCTCCACCCTTACCAATCAAGCACACGAAAATACCACGTCGAGATACGACTTCTCGAAGTCAAAACAACAATGGAACAATTAATCAGAAGATAATAAGGGAGAAAGCATTGTTGGAATAAGCCTCTTCCTGGGTTGGCAGTCTGAGCTTGTATAGACCTGCACGACATACAAGGATGTCATACCGTTGCTCCGATAACTCCAGTAATTTCAGAAAAGATACAGTTTGTGTGTCTGAAAATAATATATATAAATGAAAGAAACAACTTACTATGTTTTGTGTTTCTATAAATACATGAACAAGTGAAGCATTTCAGAGTTTAAAAAAAACAACAAAAAACCCCATCTCCAACTAGATCTATAATTACATTTCATTTTCTGTTTCTATAAATACTCGTACATGAATAAGTGAAATATTTAAGAGTAAAAAAACCCAAAAAAAAACACCCCCCAAACCAACAACTATAAATAAACGACTATGGGAAACATTACAGAGCCTGTGCCTCTCTACTAAGTACAGTACCCAAACGAGCGAAGGAACTCACGTCTAAAGCATCGATTGTGTCTTCCACGACGTAGACCCTGATGCTGTAGTCCACAGAGGGTGGCATGGCTGGGGCGAAGGCCGCTAGTCTGTAGATCTTGAGGGCGCGACCTCCGGGCACAGACTCGCCGATCAGGGTGTAGCGGTTGAGGAACTCGGTCATAACATGGCATTGGTTTGGATCCAGCTGTGTGTAGATGGGGGAGTTGATGGTCTCGTGGCCCAGGACCACCACTCGCTGGGGAGTCGGGAGAAGAAAACACAGCTATGATTTGTGGTTCAGTTAATAAAGGAGGAACACTTTATGTCATGAGAGATAATAAAATTGAGTGCACTAATCTAATGAAATGTTCAAAGCTTATCCAAAAATATGTCTCGGCAAAAGTGGGGAGTCATTTCGACATCATATTAACCGCAGGTAAGTAAGATGCCTTGGTATGGGTGGGTGTGTAAGTAGGTAGGTGGGTGGGAGTATAGGTAGGTCAGTAGGTACGTAAATAGGTAGATGGATAGAGGGTAGGCACCTAGGTAGATAGGTAGACAGACAAACAGACAGACAGACTGACAGACAGACTGTGACAGACAAACAGACAACACTATATATATATATACTCACCCTCCAGTAAGGCGGCTCGTCTATGGGCGACTCACTCTTGTAGATGGAGAGCACCCAGCCTCCCTGCCTCATGTTGGCGCAGTGCTGGAAGGACAAGATGACGGGCTTGAGCAGCTGCACACTGGGCGGGCCCACCAGGATCACGGGGCTCAGGATGGTCTGGTGTTCTGCGAAGAAACATTGAAATCATGGTCAGTATTAACTTCTTCTCCTGGATCTTTTAGTTTTAGTTTTAGTAGAGGCTTTACGGTGCTCGCAACTGCATAAGGTCATATGAGCGCCAGAATATTAGAGGTGTAACAAGAGAGCAACAAACATAAAAAAAGAAGGGGAGATAAGGACGATAGTTGTTTCATAGGAAAGAAGAAGCAAACCACACCAGAGCACCGCCAACCGCCAACTCCTTTATCTTTATATTATGGACTCTGCAGTCTCTGATGTGAAGGCAGCTTTTCGCCACAGGTCCTCTAGGCTCATGTAGAGTTTTGGGACTTTCTGCTTAAGTTCGGGCCAGAAAGGCTGCTTTGACTTCAACCCTGTTTGACATGACCAAATGTGTACTGGCTTTGTAAATTTGAGAAGAAACAGAAAAGTGTTTCATAAAATATCAACTCCCCCACCCTCTAATCTCACGTAAAAAAGTCGCATTAAAACGTGCAAGGCGAAGAAAATCCAACAATAATAATAACAATAATGATGATGACAATGATAATAATAATAATAATAATGATAATAATAATAATAATAATAATAATAATAATAATAATAATAAATAAGTCCAATACTAGGAAAGGAATGCCGGTATTTCGACCATTGTGTGAGTACAGGGTGACCTACCCGTGAGTCGAGGCCTGTCTTTGTCGTCCCGACACACCGCCATGTACAGTTCCTCCACGTGACCTTTCTTGATGGCGCCCTCGGGCACGGTCAGCAACACACCTGGGCGGAGGAGGAAAAGGCGGGAAATGGTTAAAACATTTGACTAGGTTTTAGTTTGGTAAGAGTTTTGACGGTGCTCGCAAATGCATAAAGTCATATGAACGCGCGTAACACTTGACTTAGGCGTGTTGAGTGGCAGGTGTTCATTGTGTAGTATATTATGTGTTCGTTGATAGTGTGTGTGCGAGAGACTTCATGGGTTTCCGTGTTCGTTTGTGTGTGTAAACCCTCTCTGGTGTGTGTGTGTGTGTGTGTGTGTGTGTGTGTGTGTGTGTGTGTGTGCGTGAGTGTGTGTGAGTGTGTGTGTGTGTGTGTGTGTGTGTGAGTGTGTGAGTGTGTGTGTGCGCGTGTGTGTGTGTGTGTGTGAGTGTGTGTGAGTGTGTGTGTGCGTGTGTGTGTGTGAGTGTGTGAGTGTGTGTGTGCGCGTGTGTGTGTTTGTGTGTGAGTGTTTGCGTTTGTATTATGTTTGTCTGTGTTTCTGTGAAGTGGGGGAGGAGCAGGGGCAGAGTTCATGAGTGTTATCAAAAGGCACGAGCGGCGTGTGGCAAAACACTTGGCATTTTCTTATAAACACAACAGTGCATGGAATGGCCCACTCAAAACTTGATATATGTCAAGGAGGAGACTGGGGTAATATCAGAAAGCATAGAGATGCCATGGTGGAGAAATTAGGAGGGTTGGGAGACAGAGGGTGGCAAATGGCAGTTTTGATACGTGTTGGCCAAGAAGCGATGTCTACTTGAGAGAGAAAGCGTAGGTTGAAGGATCTGAGAAGATTTACCTTTTCATTCTACGCTATAGATATAATCGGTCCGGTGAAGACTTCTAAGAGGCAAAGGGCAGAAGCGAGATAAACAGGTGATAGTTTCTGGCAACTCAGCACAAATAAAAAACAAATTCCGTCAGGAACAGAGAAAGATCACAGTGACGTTGAATTTGAAATATAAAATAGAAGGAAACGTGATTATGGAACACGCCACACAACATACAATGACGACATGAGAACAGGAAAATTTCCCCAATGAACATCCGCCAACCATAATTCGTCAATATAGAAAACTCACACACCATAGGGAGTTCAAACAGACCGATTTGTTGGGCACGAATTGATGTTATATTATACTTATAAAGCACCGTAACAGAGCGTGTGTTCCACTTTCACGATTCTAAAGTTTGAGTCTCAGAGCTAAGCAAACAAGAGCAAAAGACCAGAGTCACAGTCCTCTCATTTCAATCAGGATTCCAAAACCAGAAAAGAAACACTACGAAATACGACAAACAAGAAAAGACAGGGATGGTAAAAAATCAAGACCAGCGTTAACACCTTTTGATAAATGCACCTGATACTGCGGCCTTCTCCCCCCCTGTTTTGACAGCGTCATCGGAGCCAGTGAGTAATACGGAACAGCTGCGGTCAAATCTACTCACTTAAGTCTCGTCGGGGCAACATCCAATCTCCCGGCCTATCTTGGGTGTCAAAAGCCTGGCCTTCTACTTCTAATGCATTCACTGCTTCACACTCACGGCATACACACACACACACACGGGTAAAAGTAAGAAATATTTTCGTGGCTCTGAACTGAGATCTGCTGTTGAACCCAAATCTTTTTTAAACGAAACAACAGCAAAACCTGCAGTGTGGGGTGCTAAAGGAATACTGTTGTTTCAGATGCGAGAAAAGCAAACTGGATCTTTTTTTTTATGCCGATGTCAAATTGGTTTCATAAAGAAGAGAGGCGTACGTTTGAGAAGTGAATTGAAAAGGCAAGTGAGGTTCTGTGGAATTTTCTTCAAGAAAAACGGGTTCTAACTCACTGATATCAAAATCCAAGGGTTATTATTTATTGCAGCCAAGCATGACTAGATAGAGGGGCCATTGCCAAAAAATGTTAACGAAAAATATGATTGTTCAGAATGGATCTACATGCAGTTTCTTGGTTTCCTACTACGATGAAAACTAAAGAGACCAGTGAGAGAGCACGGAAGACATCCACATGACTGAGGTTTATTCATATGGAATGTGGATTTAAAAAATGGACTGGTGTTGTATCGTGTATCCCATGTTCACAAATGAAAGAAAAGAGGCTAGAAGAAGTGAAACAGTTCTGTCTTCCACGCAAAGCGAACAAATAAAATTTAAGCTAATTAACTTTCACTCTTTTAAAGTTAAGCCTTTCTTCTCTCCGATGCTTAAGAAAGTTTGAAAAAAGGCAAAGTTGTCAGTTATTTCCGGGCTAGAATAAGGCACCCTTCACAGGATTAAAACGCCAGCTCGATGCGAGAGACGATTAAGATTTATTAAATTACAATAATGAATATTAATTGCCTCTCCCCCGTCATGGCTAGGGCTGGGGCAGAATGCTACCGGAGACAACTATGGGGTAGGGCCATATTTCACTGGTTCTCCAAGCTCTCTGTGAGGAATGAGTGTAATTAGTGGGCGATTACCACCCCACGCCCCCTCTGGCAGACACGGACACTCACGTGCACCAGCAGGAACACAGACAGCTCGAAGACAGACACACACAAGGGCTCACTGGCATACAAACTCACAGAAACTAACATACAGACTACCCATAGACATAACCCACTCACAGACATCTGAACTGATATAAAAACTGGGAACTAACAGACAGTTGTTTGTTCTCATCATTTATTTCATGTCTAACAATCAAAACCCTCACAAAAAAAACAAACAAACCCCCAGTTTTTTAAATAGAAAGTTTGAATATTCCGCCGCTTGGGGTTGCATTTTGACGTCTCAACATCCCCCCCCCCCCTTACCCCAAGCCCCTATATGTTCCGACATAATGTCCTATTGCGCCTATACAATTATGCCTGCCTTTTCTCTTTCTTAAAGAATTATTTCCTATCTGTACACTACGTGTTCTTGTGTGAACTAAATGCTAACTTTTCCACTCATCCGAGCACGCGAGACAGCACAAAGCCGAGGGAATCAAAGAACTGACATCAGAACTGAGACGACAGTCTTCACAAAGTGACGTCAATAACATTTCTACCATAACAACGTCATTGAGCATCGTAAATGTTTTTATTCCCTAAATAAAAATTCACAGCATCAATATTTGAGAGAATTGTTTGTTTAGTTTCTAAGACTCGCTAGCCACGAACACCTTGATTGGTGAACAGTGCCATTAAAAAAAGTTGATTACGTTCAGCGTTACGCTAAACCCTAAAAAGCCAGGGAAGCGAGGCAGTTATGGTGCCCACTTGTCGTAAAACCAAACTCATAACTTCCAATACACAAGGAAATGTGACGTGAAACCCTCATTAAACAAGCTTTATACCAAACCAAACCAAACCAAACCAGACCCGGGACTTTAGGACAAAGTGACATGGTCACAGCCAGGGGCGTGACGTCACAAATGACGGGATTAGAAATGGCGTAATTCCTGGCTGCTGGTCATAATTAATGACCCTCGCCCTCTGGCCGGGAAAATATGATCACAGTGCCAGCGGAGGTCTGGCGCATGGTAATTGTAACCAGATCGCTTCCCTCTGTCCGCAGGGGGCAAATTACATCACATTTTCTTCCTGACCTTTCTGGTAGAGCTAACACTGACAAAGAAAAGTGCGAGAATTGTTTTTTTTTTAAAGGTGACAAAAAAAAAAAACCAAAATAAGAAAAGAAAACACGAAATAAAAAAGAACATGAAACCGAAGAAGACAGATGAAGTAAACGCACCGGGCTGAAGTCTGAAATAGTTACAATCAATTACAACTGAAAGCCTCTGTATGGTTAGGAAAGGATTAATTGTATTCTTTGTCTTTGATTTGGGGTTTGGAGGTGGGAGGGGGGGGGGCTTTATCTGTGTGGTCCCAGCATAAAGAATTTGTCAGGGCAGTGAGAATCACTCCCCCATGGCCAGAAGCAAGATTTTCAGAAACCTTTAGTTCTATATGAAAAATGAAAGGAACCTTGACTGAAATTACCCTTGCTATCACACATTTTACTTATTCTTTTTCAAGAAAGGACAACTATAACTGTAAAAAGGGTTGGATAAAGATCTCTGTAACCTTCACAGCAAGAACCAAAAAAAAAACAACAACAAAGAAACAATAAAAATTACAATATAATAATAACCTTAGCGTCAGATCAGAACGAATATCAAGGCAAAGTTACAGAAACCATTAAGCGCTAAAACGAAACCAAACAGCCACTGACACAACATGGCGAGGTCAAGAGACATGCGCCATTTTCTCACCTGACTCGGGCAGGAAGAGCCTGCCTCCCGTGTGGTTGAAGGTACTCCACGTGACCGCCTCTGTGTCTACATTCCCTGGGAGCTGGACCGAAATCACCGACTGCCGGCTGTCCTGAAGGCTGTCACATTGAGACAGTGGTCTCCCGTCACAGGACGAGGGTGCCGGCGGGGGCAGGCCGCTCTTAGAGTCCTTCATCCCCAGCTTCTCCACAGAGGCGTTGTTGAGGTTGTGGTTGATGGTGGGCTCCACCATGACCATCTTGTTGTTGGGTCCGGGCACGCCGCTGTAGCAGCCTGGAGTCGCCATACCGCCAGAGTGTCTCTGAGGAGGTTTGTCCGACGGGAAAAACTGCTGGGTAGCTGTAGACGAGTAAGGAGTGGGTCCGCCTTGATTCCCTCCTGCCCCGGAAGAGTACGACTGGGGCGTCTGTGGCGAGTACAGAGGCTGGGCGATGGGAGAGTACGGCCTCCCGTTAGAGATGTAAGACTGGGTGTCCGGCACGCTGTATTGCCCGGGTTCCATTCCCGCTTGTGGATACATCCCAGGCACATCGGGGACGCTGTAGGACGGAGAGCTGTCGTGGATAAAGGGAGACTCTGGGCCGCTCCCGCCGATGCTGCTCCCTCCACCACTCCCCCCTCCGCCGTGGTAGCCCGGCATTTTGTCCACGGAGCCCACGTGGTTGTTGTTGGGGGACTCGTTGGAGCCCTGGCTGTGGTTGTAGGTCTGGTTGTTGTGGTTGTTGTGGTGGTGGTTGTGGTTGTTGTGCTGCACCGTCACCACCACTGTTTGGGTCAGGTCGGGTTGCATGGACAACATGTCTGAAAAATAGACCGAAAAACCCATACTCAATTTGCGTGACTTATGGGTGCTCTTACACCTAAGATAGAAAAGTAAATCGCGAGAATGGGAGTGTTTGGGGAAGGAGGTCCTTTTCAGGATTGATGCAGTACTATAAATAGCTCTGGTGTAGGCCAACCTAATTCGTGCTATGCTGTGGCCAGCAACCCTTTAACGATTCTTCTTCTTCTTCTTCTTCTTCTTCTTCTTCTTCTTCTTCTTCTTCTTCTT